GAGGGTGCCCTCGTTCCTCTTGTCCAGATCATACAGATATTAAACAGAACAAGCCCCAGTACCGAGCCCTAGGTGGTGCAGGAATGAGACAGGTTGGTCGTGAGTGACACTGCTGATATTGCAGTGAATGTTTGACACCATTTGCCTCAGGAATATGGTGCCCAGGTGCTATTCTTCCATCTGCAGCAACAACAGAATCCCTTAACACTTCTTGAACAACAGTGTTTCCTAGTGAGTTATCTTTACCCCCAGCTATCCTCATCCTCAACTCTTCCTCCAGGTCTTCTCAGTGAATTTCAGTTGTCTTACTTGCAGGAGACTAACTCTCTGAGGAAGGTCTTCCTCAGTCTCCTCAAAAGCTGGATTAACCAGCCCAGACTCTGCAGTCCCTAGTGGTACCACAGCTGTTTCAGAGCTTTCTGCAGCAAGTGACAACCCTTCACCTAGTACCTCTGGATCCTTGGGTGTGCTTGTCTCCACCTTAGGGTGTGTTCCTTACCTTTGGAAATGGCATTCTCTTTCTGCTGTAGTTCAGATTTGTAATTCTTGAACCCAGGACACCTGTTCTGCAGATAAGCTTCTAGTTCACACCACTGCATTGTCTGCTGAGACTCTGACTTGAAAGGACAGAAGACAACCAGCTTGTCCAACAGGTTTTGTACTGGAAACCTGGACTTGGGGCACTGCTGGAAAGAGAGCTCCTTCCAATCCACAGGACAAGAGTTATACTCCTGCGGGGAGTTTTAAAGGCATTTGAAACAGCACATATGTCCACAGGGGAGTCCATATGTTGGAGCAGAGCCTAAAGGCAGATATGGCAGATGAGTTCATTGTCCACTGCATTCTGGAAGTTGTAGGGATGATTGTCCAGCAAGAGATGGAACTTAGACATTCACAGCAGAGTTCACTAACTTGGCATGCTTATTCTGCTATGGGATCAGCCATGATAGCCAGCATCAGGCTCTCTTAGGCCACCAGCAAGGAAGCTCGTTGTGTAGTCGCTATCTGACAGAGGTCCTGTGCAGGTGCAGAGGGTGGGAACGTGACTCGCTCATCCCCAGGAAGGGGAGGAAGAAGGGGCAGAAGCCCAGCTCCAACTCAGCCTGTGATGAGACACCTTCACCAAGTTTCTAGGTGGGGAAGAAAGTTGAAACCTACCTGAGAAGAGGCAGCACAGCCACCCGTGTCTTGCAGCTGCTGAGGTGCCTCCTGCCCAGCGTGGCATGGCTCAGCCCTGTGTTCACAGGCTGACCCCCTGGAGTGAGCCAGTCAGATGCTGATGAAAAGGCAACAGCTGCTCTGGACTTAAAGATGCTGTGGTACCACAAGCCACTCCAGCGTCATGGTGGGAAATATGCCATGCAGGGAAAGGCAGGTGGTTTATGCTGGTCTAGGAGGGGACCACTGGGGCTTGGCTCCCATTGTCTTGCTGAGCAGGGACACACAGCTACTGGATGTCTCTGTGCTCTGGATTCCCTGTTGATAGCAGGGAAACCTTTTTTTCAGGAAATGAGCTTTGCAAAGTAATTCAAAAAAAATGGTGGATTTTTCTTTCTGGCTTTTCTTATCTTTCTTTTTTTAAGATACTGTAGAAACTTAAGAATATGATTGCATTCATGCATGCCTTTATTTATTGAGCTATTTACGATGGGCATAGATTTCCCTAAGCCAAAAAGCCCCCTCCCTCCTCCTTCCCCAGCTTTAGTAATCAGCTTCCTTGAGCTCCAGCCCACGCTAGGCTATTTTCCTCTGTCAAATCCTTTATCATTGGTTAAATTACCTAGGTGTGTGTTGGCTTTGTCTTTTTTTTTTGTGAAATCTTATACTCTTTCAAGTCTACTTTTGCCCAAGTCCCTGTCATCCCCTTAGGTCTCTTGTATACCCTGCTTCTCTCCTGGCTGACTCTGTAAAAGGTCTGATTTCAACAAGCTGCTGCTCTGAGGGCTGAAGTCTGTACCAGTGCCCATGAGGATCGTCTGTGTCCATCAAGGCTCCCAAATGCCTCAAAGCTAGAGTGAATCGCAGATGTTTAGGTTCCTTTGCACATTAATGTTAAATTTTCCCTCCCACCATCCCTTGCTCAGAGGCTCCCCTTCCACATTTTGCTGCCTGTGCTCACTGCAGCCCACGTTGCCTGCACACCTTAATGCTACCGAACTGTTAATGAGGAATTTGGCACAGGCCCTGGATTGCCACCAGGGTGCCCCCTCCCACAAACGTGCTAGCAGCTGCCTTCTGACATGTGAAGACATGCTTCACTCAAGAGTCTCTCATGTGAGACAGTTTTAATCGAGGATGCTCTTTCCTTTTGGCTCCCCACAGAGATCACAGGACCCTGTTTAATCCGGCTCCCTGTTGGTGTATGGCTGAGTCACGGGAGGTTTTTCTCTTGCTACATCTAATGGCGCTTTGCTATCAGGAGCAGAACATCAACCTGCTCGGCTGGGAGTCGGCACTGTCACCCAGCAGCTCTCCTTGGTTGGGAGTTGTTTTGATTCTTTTCTTAGCCTTCTCCCTCTCTCTGTCTTTCTCTCTAAAACATTAATTTCCTCTAATTAGACCCTCCTTAACAATTCTTTTTCTCCCTCTCCTCAGTTAATTTCCTCTAATTAGAACCTCCTTAATAATTCTTTAGCTAAATCAATTTCCTCAGTTAGAACCACCCGCCATAATTTCTTTCCATCCTTTCAAAAGCTGTTGGAATAGCTAAGCAAATTATGATTCTGGGTAACCTTTATCTCTTACCTGGTATTTTAAAAGAACTGTAACAGGTTAGACAGGCACAATTTCCCTTTGCAGAGCTCTGCTGGTCTGACCCCATTAGGTTATACTTAGCTGAGTGTTGTAGTATTGTATACTTAATTAGGCGCTCTAGCTGTTCCTCCGGAACCAAGGTAAGGCTGTATTTATGAATGAATTAAACATGACACTTCATTATTCAGATCACGTTTAACAGTGTTAAAATCCATCTTTAAACTATATCACATTGCTCTCTAAGAATATGTAAAACCTCCTGCCCTCGTTAGCTGTCCTGTGAGCCCGCTGTTCCATCTTCTCTGCAGCCATGACAGCTTTCTTCTCATGATAAGCCTTTTAAGTACTAATTGTTTCTAAAACATCCTGGTTTGAAAAAGATTTTTTTTTCTGTGTATGCAATTTACGCAGTAAGTAACTATTAACAGCACATTGCTTTTTACAACCATGCTGTGGTATAAATGGGGAGGCAGCTGATTTACACATCATAGGCCTTGTGCCTAAGTTTACTCTTCTGCACTAGTAGAAGCCATTTCTTCCCCGTTGAGATTGTTTTATGCATTTCTCTGTCCATTTTAGATGGACCATAAGGAACCCTCTCACTATGTCTGAATTTCCTGAAAGCTACCAAGGATGGCTTGCTACATTCCCTGATTTTTGGAATGAAAGGGCCAAGTATTGGTGGCAACTGGGAGGAGCCACACAGTTATAGTGAAACCTGTTTTTCTATGTAATTATGAAAAATAATAAATAAGGAAACACATTTGAGTCGCAGGAATGCTATCTCCTTATCACTGGTAGGTGCCACTGATCCTGTTCACTCTTCTAGTACCCCTTTCTCAGGTTAGCACCTATGACCAAGCACAGATCTGGTGGTTTCAACACGTGTGACAGAGATGCACTGCCCTGCTATAGTGCATGGTACGACAGGACCCAGCTCACGGGAGACGGGTCAAGGAAAGCTGCCTCACCACAGGCTCATGAGACTGCTTCTGGTCTTTGCAGCATTAGGACTTGCTTCCTCTTTTGGCTATGCCCAGCATAAGCTGAGTAGCCTGTTCAAAGTCCTGATCACAAACCAGAATGCCACTGTGGGCCCTGAAGAGTCTGCTCCAGTAAGGCAGATGGGCCGCTCAAAATTCAAAAGTGCTTTTTACTACCTTCTGATGAGAATTAGTAGTGCCACAGTGAGTGGATGTCCTGGGTGCCACTTGGTACAAGCAGAGTGATCCAGAATGCTCCACAGGTATTCCACAGGGAGCCAGTGGAGGCTTGCAGCTACTCCACCCTTGTCAGTGCTACTGCCAGCTTTCTGGGCAGGTTCAAAACATTTTAGCCAAGCCCAGCCACTGTGGTAAAGCTGTACTGCTGCCCTGTTTCACATTTCTCTCCTTCTGCCTTTCCAAGCTTCTAGCACTCCACAAAGTCTGTTCTGGTGGAACTGGTGCAGAAGTTGTAAGATCTACTTTATTTCCTTTGCAGTCTTAATAACTATGCAGATAATTCCATTTGCTGCCATTTCCCATGGAAACCTTTTGGAATAGATTTGGATGGAAAAATGAAACACATTAAGGTTTTTGTTTTTGACAAAATCCCTGATGTCTGAGGTGGGAATAGGATGGGTTTGGGCAATCTTACAAGGAGTAAAATGTTACAAGCAGTAAAATGCTGGTGGTGCTGACGAGGGGGTTGTTTGGGAAGGGTAGGTTCTCTAAAAAGTTATGTTAGAAGGCTAAAAAAAAGCTGTCTGATTCTTCTCAGAGAAGATGTGAGAGCAGGAAGAGGGAATCTCCAGGTTGGACTGTTCAGACCAACAGCTGACTAGAATGGAAGAGATGCTGTTCTCCAAGCTCCTTGAGAAGCACATCTTGCTGGTCTCCAGTCCATTTCAGCTGAGGCCAAAGAATGGCTAGAGATAGAGATAGGCAATCCAGTAGACAATGTTGAAGAGCAGGAAGGCAGTGGGGAAGAAGACGCGGGAGTAGGAGTCCAGGCGGGAGATGTGAATGCGGACTCTGCCCTCCCGCCACATCCCTGTCTGACAGTCCTCAATGCAGCAGAAGAACCTCTCACATTCCTTTCCTTCCAGGCACGGGGAGCCAGGGTCTTCATCCTCTTCGTCCCCTATCTCTGGAGGCCAGTGCATGATGTTGTTGATGTTGATGGTGGTAAAGGATGGCATCACCTGTGCACCAGCAGGTGGCTGTAAGGAGGAAGAGTAGGTGAATTAAAGGAAAGAAAAAGGCAAGAAAACATCTTCTAGACACCAAAACCCATCCAACTGCCAATAGATCAGTTCATAGCATAGCTGCAGTTCAATGGAGAGAGGTAACTCATCAGCCCCACCCCTGCACCCAACTGTAAATCATGGCATTGGGATACCGAGGAGACAGGCAGCTCCCTGCATGGCTGTGAGTTTCACTCCAGGGCACAGCCTTAGTCAGCAAGGATCTAATTGTTTTAATTCCCCATCTCTGCCACTAACAGTCAGTGCGGAAACAGGACCTGTTTGAGTTCAGGTGTGCTAGCCTCTTCCCTCATTCCTCTGAGCTCAGCTCTCTCTGTAACACACAGCACACAGTCCAGTTGCGTCTTCTGGTTGCTGTTAGTTGTTGAAGAAAAGCTGGGGAAAGGCTCTGGTGATTTGAAATCTCTTGGCCCAGGAGAAGACGCATACCATCAGCCTCACAGGAGAGCTCTCCCCACCTGTGCTGGGAATGAGGCTGGCACAGAAGAGATCTGTCTTTTTTTGGTTTCAGTTCTGTCCCAGTCCAGAAGCCTGTTTCAGCTGATGTCTTGGAAGTACCATGAGCTTGGGCAGATCTCAAGAGGAGGATGACCACTCTTGGGTTCACTATCCCCACACTGAAGAGGTCTTCCAATGGACAGACCACAAAACAAAGGTTTCTGCACCTCTGTGACCTGAGATACCTCTGTAATCCATAGAGATCAAACAGGTGCAGATGGAAGAACCTGGATGTGGGTCACTCTGTCTTAAGACAGGTGTCTTTAAAGCGGACACTTACATTGGATCACGTGAGTCATCCTAAACTGTACGGATAATCTCTCCAGCAATTTTGAGGAGAGCCCAGGGTGCTTGGTTCTGAGAGGAACCTCCTTGATTTAGGGGAGCCTCAACTGTTTTTTCTTTTTTTGTCTCGCCTTTCAGATACTCAGACCCAGCACACAGAGTGGTCTGAGGGCATTCTGAACACAATATGGGCCAGGCACTAAACCAGGTGAGCAGTTTCCAATGCAGGCTCAGGAGGGATATTTCTAAATAGCTTGGGCTTCTATCAGCATCCACTTCTGCCAGCCCCTTTGACTTACCAGTCTGGCTTTCCTGTTGTTGTGCTCAAGTGGTTTCTTGTTTCCCACCAGGTAGTTGAGTGTAGCGTACTCCATGAGAGCTGCAAAGACGAAGATGAAGCACACAGAGACAAAGAGGTCCATGGCTGTGATATAGGAAACACGAGGAAGGTGCTTGCGGGAGATGGTACTCAGGGTGGTCATTGTTAGCACAGTCGTGATTCCTAAGAGAGAAAAGAGCTGATTTAAGTAATGAAGAGGAGCACTTCTGTCTTCTACATGTATGCAACCCCCAAAACATCTTCATCTCCCCTTGCTTGTGGGACAGAAATTGCTTTGGTTATCTGGTCCCATTTTTGCTCTGCTCAGCCAGATTCTGGTCTTCAGGTGCCATCTGACAATGTTGTATGTAAAAAGAGCTGTTCAAAACCCAGCTGTGATGTAGCTCACCAATGTGGACTGGTAAAGGGGTGGTAAACTCGAACTCTGCTTAAGGCTATACACATGAAAATTGGTTGGATGACGGGAGGAGAGCCCAAAGCAAGGACATGCTGAGGTAACAGCACTGGATGAACGTCTCCGAGCAGGCAGTGGGCGAGTTTGGAACCCGTCAGTGATGTCTAGCTGAGTCAGCAATAAGCATGGCAATGTCTCCGAAGATACAGTACTGCTATTTTTGTCTGATGTGAACCAAAACTGAAATGCAAAGGTCTCTGTTCTTGTTCTCCCTTCATCTTTGAGCATTTGCTTCCAGGATGAATTCAGCCCAATGTAAAGCTCATCGTAGAATCACATAATAGTTTGGGTTGGAAGGGACCTTTAAAAGTCATCTAGTGCAACCCCCCTGCAATAAGCAAGGACATATTCAATTAGATCAGGTTGCTCAGGGCCCCATCCAACCTGACCTTGAATGTTTCCAGAGATGGGGCATCAACCACCTCTCTGGGCAACTTGTGCCAGTGTTTCACCCACCTCATTGTAAAAAATGTCCTTATATCTAGCCTGAATCTCCCCTCTTTTAGTTTAAAACCACTACCTGTTGTCCTGTCACTACAGGCCCTGCTAAAAAGACTGTCCTGATCTTTCCTACAGGCCCCCTTTAAGTACTGAAAGGTCACAAGAAGGTCTGCCCAGAGCCTTTTCTTCTCCAGGCTGAACAACTGCAACTCTCTCAGCATGTCCTCACAGGAGAGGTGCTCCAGCCCTCTGATCATTTTTGTGACCCTCCTGTGGACCTACTCCAACAGGTCCATGTCTTTCTTGTGCTGAGGACTCCAGAGCTAGACAGAGTATTAGCTCACTTGTGTTGGTGACCATCAAGCCCAGTATTGCATCCCTTCTGGTAGGGCTGTCTATTAAGTGGCCCAGGAAGTTACCTTTAATGCTTTCCAGGAGTCTCCTAGATTGCCTACAGCTCACCATGCTACTTTTCCAGCTCATGTCAGGGTGATTGAAGTCCCCCAGCAGGATGAAAGCCTGCAAGCATGATGCCTCCTGTAGCTGGTGTAGGAAGAGTTAGTCAATAGGCTCCCCTGACTGGACAGCTTTGTTCCCTTTGTTGCCACAGTCTCTAATTCTTATCCAGAAGCTTTCAACGTGCTCATGGCTGTTCTCCAAAGACAGCTCTTCACAATTGATCAGTTTCTTGACGTAGACGGCACATGGGCAGGAGATGATAAGGAATCTCTTTTGACTTGAATGGGACTTGGAATTGTTTTTGTAGCAGCTGCAGGTCTGCAGCTCACAGACCTATTTCCAGAGATATAGTATCAGGAGCCAACAAAGGATCAGCTGCAAGAGTTGGCATCATGATCTCATCCCTGGCTCTTTAGGATGTGGAAAAGAAGCAGGAACTCCACCTGTTCATCCTCCTGTAGCATTTATCTAAATCCACCTGCCACCCTTTCCTGCAGTCACCACAATAGCTCTGGGTGGTAGCATGGCAAGGAATTTTCACGTTTTCCTGCTGTATTTGCATTAGCAGACACCACGTGAGTTCCCATATATTTCAAATGCCAGTGGAACTTGTTAATTTACATCTTCCCAGTGTAGGCTGGTGGATTTGAAAAGTACTGAGGATCATTTGTATTAAGAATGACAGGGGCTGTGGAGAGAATACATTACTCTTGATGTGTAGAGGTCCACAGAGAAGGCCCCTGCTCCTGGGGAAACTTCCTTTTGTTTTTTGAGACAGGCACCATAGTGGTGTCAGTCAAGCAGAACATTTTGCCTCTTGCTCTTCATTCCTTTCCCAGCCATGGACTGTGGCACACCATCACCTCTGTTAGAAATGACACCACACTCCTCCTCCCGCTCTCTGCGTGGGCACCAAATAAATTTATTTTGACAGGGAGGTGGGGAGTGATGGTCAGAATGGACGGGCTCTGAACAGCCCAGGCTGATGCTTAGGGCCCCCTTGCCTCTCCTCTTCCTCCCAGAAGAGGCCTGCAGGTAGGGCTGGGAATGCTACCTCCAATTATAGGGAAAGTCAGCAAGGCTGACAGGAAGGACAGCACTGGATAACAAAGGTTCCTGCAAAATGCAGATACAGCCATAGTGCATTAAAGATTTCTAAATAACCTCTCTAGCACATATCAGAGCAGGATTCAACCAACATAAACTTTTTCCTGCAGGTTGCTGAGAAAATCTGAACACTGGCAACAGAGCTGTTGCTACATCTTGGATTGCCCCTGTGGTGTGACTGACAGAGAAAGGCTGTACCTACAGGGCTTCCACATCCTGCCAGAGCTTGGGACTCTATGGGTAGACCTGAGCAACTTTTCTCATCACCTTACAACCTTCATGTCACTAGATCTACACTGAGCCCTTGAAAGTCATGGGGAACTGCAGTATACATGCAAGTGACAGGAGCCCTTTGGCCAGCATTTCAGTGCTACAGCTCACTCCTTCCCTCTCCCTTTCAGCACATAAAATACCACATTATCATCTGGGAAAAGGCTGTGATCAGGTCTCAGATCAAGAGATGAGAGTGTTGTGCTATCCTGACATAATCCAGTAGTCCATGCCAGCACAGCTGGAGATTCGGTTGAGCTTGAGAGTAGTGTTCCAAACAGAAAGACAGAGGAATGAACTACCCTCCAGTAAGCTGAATAATGCCAGAAAATGGCAAAGTGCTTCAGGAGATTTTGTACTCCAATGCTGCCAGTCTGCTAGCTTTGCAGAGCTGGACAAGCACCATCCATGCAACAACCTGTTTCTTACCCAGAGATGTCCTGGCTGGTGTAGAGTCTCTCTTGATCCAAAAGGAAACCCAGGAAAGAACAACAGTCAGGATGCAGGGAATGTAGGTCTGAATGGCAAAGTAACCCATACGTCTACTTAGGTCAAAAGAAACTGTCATCACCATATACTCTCCTAGGAAAAAAGAAGAAACAGAGAAATTTGACTCACGTGTACTTCCCTAAAACAGAAATCAGCAAAGTTTCAGAATTTGGAGTGTTTCTGGTGAGATTTTCTTGTTTTAAGTACTTGGCTGGCTGGTTTTGTGGCTTGGTTTTGTGGCTGCCTAGATTGTTAGCTTCATGGACAGCTGTGTGGCTGGCTGAGCAGGTTTGGTGACTTGGTGGCACTGTGGCTGGCTTGCTGATTTTGTGGCTAGCGGGCCCTGTGGCTATATGGCTGGCTCTGTAGCTGCCTGACTTAATGTCTTTGTGACCAATTTAAGAGCTGACTTGGTGGTTGTCCAACTAGCTATCTGCCTGGCTAGCTGTGTGGCCACTAGGCATTTGTACTGCTCTGGCTGTGTGTTCAAGCACACTGAAACACACACTGTCTGGAGAAGTTTCAGGGAAGAAACGACAGAGAGTATTCATCTTCAGCTGACTGCTGTGAGGGTTTCTTTTCTATAGAAGTGATTTAGCTGTAATGGGCTACACAGCCTGGCTTGCTAACTAACTCCCTGAGTTCTAACAGATGAGGTCTCCTTCAGTCACTTTCATCCAGACTCTTGTTCTGCCTCTGGAAAAAGCATGTGGCACTGTACATCCCAATTGTTCATTTGGCAACTTAAAGCTGAGGTTCTTCTTTTTCAGAGGCTCCTCATGAGACCTGGAAGAAAGCTACACAACTTCTCTAGAATTAAGATGGAGCTTGCAAGCAATTACCAAAAAAAAGAGAATTATAAATGTCAGACATCTGTGACTGACAGAGAAAGGCTGTACCTACAGGGCTTCCACACCCTGCCAGAGCTTGGGACTCTATGGATACAACTGAGCAACTTCTTTCATCACACTACAATCTGTCTGGTGCATTCCAGACACTTGCTCTGTACCAGTTCTTGTCCCATTTTGTGCTGCCTTCCTATTCTGGTTAGAGGCTGCCTGTTGGTGTTGGCAACAGCAGCTTTCTGCAGAGTGGAAGAAGCCCTACCTGAACTTGCTGCTTCACAGGGCTTAAAAATATGAGCTCACTCTACCTGAAGGAGTGCAAAGGGGCTTTCCTCAGTTGTCTGTGGGAAGGAACGGGGATGCAAGCTACTATGACAAGGAGCTGAAGGGCATCCAGTCCTTAGTTCCTTCACACATGCAGCCTTGCCCCTGTCTCTTAAAGCACAATTCAGGTGTTCATCAGACCCACACAGCTTTACAGATGAAAAGATGGAGACCTGCAAGTTCTGATTTCCCCACTCCTGTCCTACTATAAGCATCATTCAGGGATCAATACAGAATGCACATATTGCTGCAAGAGGGGACCTGAGCTCCATCTCCTTTCCCACCTGACCCTTCAGTCAGGGATAGCTTCATTCACATCAGCTTTTGTCACACCACAGTTCACAAATATCAGTGGTTTTGGCCTACCTCTGCTTCATCTTCCACTCACCCTTCATCTCCATCACTTCTGCTCCCTCTAGCAAAGGTCCCTCCCTTCATTCTTACATTTCTCTAACTGTGCTGTTGTGATCTTCCTTCACCACCACCATGGAACTGTCTGATGGCTCCTTTGTGTCCCATGAGGTGTCCAACACACTGGCATTTCTGTGGGCTGTCTCACTTTGCCTCACCTGCCCCAGTCCTGAGAATTTCTGAAGTGTTCCTCAGCCCTGTGAAGTCAAACTGGTAGAGCCTCCAGGTGCGCTGGTCAGAGACCTCAATGGAGTAGCGCCTCCAGCGATAGACAATCTCCTCTCGTGGGTAGCCATCTGGGGAAAGGGGCAAGGACATCAATGAAAGAGTACCCTCATGTGCCTCCACCTCTTTCACCACCCTCACTGCAAAAGCACCAGCATCTCACTCTAGCTCTTTTGTAAACATGAAGCTTTCAGACAGGTATTTCTGATGCCTTTTATGTAGATTTCCTTGGGCATCCCTACAAGCTATGGGAGCAGGAGCAGGGTCTCCCCTTGTGGACTACTTCAAATCTTAGGGATGGGAAAAGCAGTGCTAGAAATGAAGCCTTTTTAAGTACTGCACTGGTGGGGATAAGATCTGGGTTGGTGTAAGAAGACTAACTCAGTCTGAAATCTTGAAGGTTTTCGTTCCCTGGAGTGTCATGGGGCCTTAACTACCCCTCACAACTACCCTTCCCAAGCTTGACTACACCAGGAATACAAAGCTGCCAACATGGGAGGCAGCATGGCTGTGTCTGCTCTGACTGTCCCTGTACCTCATGCCCTGTGAGCTGATCTACCTATAGAAAGGGAGCACATTCTCCATGGAGAAGGAGACCTGGCTACTGCAGGCTGGCTCTGTAAAAGCCTCTGGCTTTCTGTGAAGCAGCAACCTTGACAGCTATGAGATAGCCCTCCTCAGAGGAGGGAAGGAGAAAAGCTTGGCAGCTAACTAAAAGTATTTCTAATTATCAAGCATGTATGGCATGTACCGTTAATTAGCAAAGACTGAGGGATGGTGGGAGATGAGTGGTTAGTATCTCCTCAGCATGCTGCCTCCTTCTGAAGCACCTCAGAGTCACATAAGCTGCATATCTTCAGTGGCAAGGGAAGCAAGAGAGCAAACCCAAGCTAAGATGATTAAATCGGATTTCCAGCCAATGCATGAGGAACATATTCCTTCTTGGTGCAGGAAGGCTCCCTGCAAAACTACCAGTAGATGTGTGCCAACATCAGCAGCCCTCTCTGCTGATGAGAATAGACAAAGGGGCACTGAGAAGGAAGGTCCAAGTACCATTCCTTTGTGATGGCCTTGGAAAGTGGGCCTGCCTCTTGGCTGAGGTCTGGAAAGCCAAGCTGTTCTCTCAGAGAGTGGGAGAAGGGGGAAGATGCAAGGCAGGTTGGGTGTTATTTGTCTGCTAGCTGAAGGGGTATATTCTGTCTAGAGTGACCAGAAGGACAGTGAAATAATCATGGTCAGCCATTCACCCAAATTAAACAGAAACTCAGAGTTGCTGTGAATCTGTCCCTGAAGATCTCTGCTAGCCCAGGAGTGGCAATATGCTTCAGGCAATGTTAGGTAATGACCCAGAAAAGAGTCATAGAGTTTAGGTGAAAAGCGTAGGTAAAGGGGAGGATGGTCCTTCTAGAAGAGTTTATTGAGGTTTCTCTATTTGCCTTCTAAAACTATTTTGAAAATATGTATACTCACAACTAGAAAAAACCAAAGGGCAGGAGTGAGTGTCCATGGGGAAATTCTGCAGCTGGAGCAGACATTCAGCCTCGATCGTCAGCCTGAGAGCGGAAGAGAGGGGGAGACAGATTTTGTGTTGATGAAGGTGGTTTGATTCCAACACCACAATGTGACAGAATGATTCTCACTTCCTCGAGAGAGAAACACTAATTTGTTGAAGATCAGTCTGTTTGCAGGAACATTTCAAAACAGCAGCAAAACAAAACATATGTCTGGATATTTTCAAAGTGAGAAAAAACATCTAAAAGCCTTTTTGTTTAGTGAGCTTTTCAGAATCATTTACGGGAGTGAGAATTTATGGGAACAAAAGACAAGTGTTTACTATCAGAATTAAATAGCTGGACGGACCGAAATAAGCTTTTAAAGGACTTTGGTTTAGGAAAACATTTATATTTTTCACTTTTTTCTAGGTAGGATAAAGAAAACCAGTTTGATTTTTTGGAAGCCTTCATCCTGGGAAGAGGAAGCCTGTTCTGCAAGCAGTACTGCATGTGTATTCCCATCAGCACTGGGAGACATCTTTACTACTCTGTCCCAGGCCACCTGGAAACCTCCTCTGCTTTGACCAGCTCCTTGCTTACCTGACCTACTCACCTCAGCAACTAGCTACAGGGCCTGCTGAATGTACCTGAGTGTGTAGAGCACTTTTCCATCATTCCAGATGCGGAGGAGCTGATTAGGAGTAGTTATCCAGTGGGAATCAGCCCGCTTGGAGTTTCTAAAAAAGGTGTCTGGGATCCAGATGCGGCTCACCATGTTGGTGTTCAGTGTGAGGGCCTTCAAGGTGCTGTTGAAACGAAGACGCCGGTCATACCATGTCTGGGCGAAGAAGATATCAATGGTGTATTCCTGTGAAAGATAAAGAACATATCTTTCTGAGAGTCTAAGGATTCAGGCAAAGTATCATAGAATCACTATGGTTGGAAAGGACCTCCAGGATCATCAAGTCCAACCACCATCCCAACATCTCCCTATCCACTAGACCATAGCCTCAAGTGCTATATCCACTCGTTTTTTGAACCCCTCCAGGGATGATGACTCCACCACCTCCCTGGGCAGCCCGTTCCAGTGCCTCACCACTCTCTCAGTGAAGAAATTCTTCCTAATATTCAA